TATATAGGCCTATGTTCACGCAAGAACTGCCATTCTGACTGACAACCGGAGAACAGCAGGTATTAAATAGCCTACTGTTAGAGTTATATAATGTAGTCTTGTGTTTTATTAAAATTGATTATAATTGATATCTCAAAAGGATATGCACTTGTGCGCTGTGTGAGCAGCTGCACACTCGCACTGCAACGCAAAATTTTCATAAAATATAATAACTTGCCATTTCGGTTTGTTTCTCACCAAACCCTCAGAATACCTTCAGAATGCTTGGAATATACGCCACGAGATGCATAGGATTATTTTACGACAGATATGCATCCGCTTAAAAAAAAACAACTAAAAAGTCACCATTCTCTGCCATTAAATTGACAAGTGCGAGCAGGACTTTTTTGTGTTATTAAGTAATAAGACTTTAGAACAACATTATGTTGAGTAGTCACTCTAGTTCACACAGTTCCAATAAATTGCGATGGGTTAAATAAACTCAATAAGCAGACAGACGCGACTACAGCCAAAAGTCACTTTGGAATAAATCACAGTAGGCCTATGCATCATGATAAAAAAAAAGTCTTTACAGTCTGGAAATACTTTAGGCTATAGCTAATTATTTTGCGGACCCCCTATCACTTTAAGAACCGCTGGTCTACACAGAAGAAAGAACTGTCTAGACTCTGCCCCTGTACGAGTTGTGTCGAGCTATTCATTAGTCTGTTTGATGAGAAAAATATTAAATGTAGTTGCAATAAAATGGGTTATTAATCCGTACAACTGCAGCAGCAGAGGACTATTATTCTGCTGTGTGATACTGCAGAAGAATTGATGACGGCACGGTTTGCTCTTCGGCTGACTAATCAGCAGAAAGGGGCGTTTAATTCCCGCCCATGTGTAGAAATCGAATATTCAAGCTGTTTATTCATTTTTTCCACCCAAGAACGAAGAACGAAAAACGAAAATTTAAGCTGAATTCTCGTTTTTCGTTTTTTGGGAAAAAAAACTAAAACACGAAAAAGGAGCCGTTTTCTAATTTTTCTACTTTCAATATTAAATAAAAAAACGAACGATCGAATGATACATGGATTCATCCTCATTGGACATGGCGTTAGAGAGAAATGCATCTTTAGGGATTACATAATGAAAGAGTTTTTGTTTTCGATTTGAATTATTTCGTTTTAAAATAGTATTTTAAAGCATTCTATAGATATATTTATCATGTCGGTGAAGCGCTCCTGCTCAAGACCAAGAGGACAGAAAGCACATCCTGTTTGTTTTCCTTATTTTACAAAAGCACAAGGTTTTGTTGATATTGTGAGTGCACACAAATACAAGTAGACCCTTTGCAGTTCCGAATGATGTATACTATTACCTTTATGAGCACAAATCACGGCGTATTTTTTAGTTTCCGCTGTTCTTAAATAAAACGCAAGTGATCGCGCTGGCGCCTCCATGCCCTGCAGCACGCTTTAGCTTCCACTCTCCGCACAAACGATTGGATATGCACCTAACAGCGCTCATTTATCTTGGTTAAATGTTTAAATTAATACTGTGAAATGCATG